GCCTAAAAGCAAGATTCTGCCCCAGAACGAAAATATCTCAGAATCAAACTTTGGCACGTCAATATATTTTGACTACCCCGATACTTTCATTCAGTCAATATTCAAGGTAGGTAACTCAAGTTCATTAACTCTTGGTGAACTCAATAATAATAATACTAAGTTTCCACGAATAGCAGATGTCCAATTTAAAATCCTTGTAGATGTATTGCATGGAACATATTTGACATTTAAAAAGCATTTAAAGCAGCAGGCCTCCAGACTTACGCTAATTTTCATGAACATTTTTAACATATGTGTAAACGTATAATAATGTGTAGTGACCAAAAGGAAGCAATTTACACCTCATTAATTTCACTTACAACTCACGTAAATTACTAAAATGAGGTCAAAATGCACAAAAAAGCCTTTACTATGTTAGTACCACAGTAGAAATAGTCATAATATTGAAAAAATCAATCATTAACCACATATAACATGTCAGTTATTACTTGAATCTTTAATATTTTTACAGTCCTCAAGTGTAAGTAATATTTTAAGCTTCATCTTTTTGAAATATTTTGGCTTATCTGGAGGCATGTAGCTTTAAATCCTATAGCAGCAGGTGTTAATTAAATACTCAAATCAAAACTGTTACTATAGCGATTATTTAACTATAATTTCACAAATAGCGTAAGAAGTCAAAAACATTTAGCGTAACATTTTGAACAAGCTAAATTATTAATATATAATTCACATGAAATAAGACAATTTCTTTTGCGCCTCAAACCACAAAAACAATTTTACAGCAATAGTCTACTGTATGTGTGACAAACAGAAATACTTTTTCATAACTTTGACTGTAACAGTGATGGAGTAACTTAAAAAAAAACATAACAAAAAATAATACAAATAAAATTGTCTTATCTGAGCATTTCAAATATCCGCTGTTAGTGCAATGAACTTTTAACACTTCCAATGATCTTAATAACATACCAAAAAAAACAACTTTATTAATCACAATTTTATGTTTTATGATGAAACATTTCAATGACTGATCAGAACTAACTAAAATGAAGGACTGTAAAATTTTGATTAACAAAATTTCAGCTGTTTGATTCAAAGTTGCTATATATAATCATTTAAACAATTTTCACTAAAACAAATTAAGTTCTCACAAAAATACATTATTTTTTCTCACTTTTTCATAATTTGAGCTTTAATAAAATTAATTGTAACAGTAAGAATTGATACAACATTAAAACCTTCTAACATTCTTAAAACATAGTAAGTTGTTAACCTATAAATCAGTTACATTTATGATTACAGTAATTACTCGTTCATAAGTCTGACAGCTTTATAAGTCGGGGCTGTCTGAACTGTACTTATCAACAGCCTTTAATTAAATTTGAATTCTCCTAAAAAAAAAATTAATATCTTTTTTGATTCCATACTGGTGTCAGAATACATATCTATAAAATATAAGAAAAACAACCTGTTAAAAAGAATAAGTAAATATGGTACATGCACTTATTCTTTTTTATCTAAAAACCTGCCAATCTTTAAAGACACAATTTCAATCAAAGATATGTGAAAATTATAAGAGGTAAAAAATATCTTTATTAAAAACTAAAAGACCAACCTTGGCTTACTAATTTTCTTTCTGAGTTGATGTAAGAACTCTCAAACTTGATTTGTAATCAAAACTACAAGCTAACTTAGACTTTAAAATTAAATATTTTTATGCCACCGCAGCATCTGCGATGCGGTGGCATATAGCGATTCACCTGTGTGTATGTGTGTGTGTGTTTGTTTGTTTGTTTGTGTGTGTGTGTGTTATATAGATTATATAGTGAACTTAAAAAATCTTCTTGTGAAAAACCACTAGTCCAATTTCAGCCAAACTTGGCAGGATTGTTCCTTGGGTGATGGGCTTCCAAAGTTGTTGAAAGAATTTCATTCCATGCAGAAATCTGGTTGCCATGGCAACCAAAAGGAATTATAAGAATAAATTTTAAAAATCTTCTTGTAAAGACCCAAAAGGCCTAGAGCTTAGATATTTTGCATAAGGCATTGTCTGGTAGACCTCTACCAAGATTGTTCAAATTATAGCCCTGGGGTCAAAATCGGCCCCGCCCCGGGGGTCATTGATTTCACAATATGTACATATAGTAAAAACTTAAAATACCTTCTTGTAAAGAACCAAAAGGCCTAGAGCTTAGATATTTTGCATAAGGCATTGTCTGGTAGACCTCTACCCAGATTGTTCAAATTATAGCCCTTGGGTCAAAATCGGCCCCGCCCGTGGGGGTCATTGGTTTTCCCAATATGTATATAGTAAAAATTAAAAAAATATTTCTTCTAGCAATTGACAAATGCTAGAGGTTAGATATTTTTCATTAAACATTGTAAAGTGAACTTCTAGCAAGATTGTTCAAATTATAGCCCTGGGTCAAAATTGCCCCGCCCCGGGGGTCATTGATTTTCAATATATATATATATATATATATATATATATATATATATATATAATATATATATATATATATATATATATATATATATAGTAAAAAATCTTGTCAGAAGGTACAAGGCTTAGAGCTTTAATATTTGTTAAATGATATCATCTATAGGAACTCTACCAAAGTTGTCCAAATTTTGCCTCTAGTGTCAAAATTAGCCCCGCCCCAGGGGTCATAGGTTTTCCTTATATGTATATAGTAAAACTTAAAAAATCATCTTCTTTAAATTTACAAAGACTAGAGTTAAGATACAAATGCATTTTGCATGAATCATTATGTAGTGAGTGAACCTCTAGCAAGATTGTACAAATTATAGCCCTGGGTCAAAATTGGCCCATACCCCCAGGGGTCATTAATTGTTACTATGTACATATAGTAAAAAAATTAAAAAATCCTCTTTTCTGACGGTACACAGGCTTAGAGCTTTGATATTTGGTATATAATATCATCTATGGGTCCTCTACTAAAGTTGTTTTAATTATGCCCCTAGTGTTAAAATTGCCCTGCCCCAGAGGCAATATTTTTCCTTATATGTATAAAGTAAAAACTTGAAAAATCTTCTTCTCTGAATTGAAAAAATCTTCTTCTCTGAATTGACAAAGGCTAGAGTTAAATATATAGCATGAGACTTTGCGAAGTGAACCTTTACCAAGATTGTTCAAATTATAGCCCTGGGTCAAAATTGGTTCCGCCCAGGGGGGTCATATATCATGATTGATTTACATAAAGTTGAAAAATAAAAAATATTTTTGTCTGAAGGTACAAGGCATAGAGCTTTGATGTTTGCTATATAATATCATCTATAGGCCCTCTACCAAAGTTGTTCAAATTTTTCCCCTGGTGTCAAAATTGGCCCTGCCCGGGGGGCAGTGATTCTCATTATGTACACATAGTAAAAACAGAAAATAAAACAAATGTTTTCTGAATGGGAGAAAGCTACAGCTTAGATATTTGACTTGAAATGTTGTTTGGTGGACCTGTATCAAGATTGTTTTGAATTAAACCCTTGGGTCCTTCTTGTCCTTTGATGTACAGCAATGAAATTTTGACCATGTGCACAGTTTTAGTTGTAAAATTGAGCTTTGATATCAGGTGACCAAGATTTTGATGATGTGACCTACTTTCTTGTCCTTTGATGTACAGCTATGAAATTTGAAACATGTGCACAGATTAAGATGTAAAGTGAACTTTGATTTCAGCTGACCTAGATTTTCACAAAGTGTCTTACTGTGTTGTCCTTTTGATGTAGTCATGAAATTTAGGCTGTGTGAAATATGACATTCACCACCAAATTCACTAGACTCGAGTGCATTAATATATTCCTACTCTGATCTTTTATTGAGTTAACAACAGATTAAACCACTAATCTGATAATAAGAATAAGATAGGTCAGGGATCTATGCATTATGACAATCTTCAAAATTGTATAGAAACAAAAAAAATCTGTTCCTACACTACTATTTAGTGTTGTATTAATGCGGTGGCATAGCATTTTTCTCAAATGCAATCTTGTTGTATACTGTATAGATTAAGTAATTTTACTTTCAATACTTCTGACAAACTTGAGGTAATCTTGTTTAGAATAAATAAGTTTTTTTAAACCCTGTGCATGCTGGGAAAATTTTCGTATGATAAAAAAATGATGCCTGCCTATTTCTTTTTCTTGAAATCGAATCTTCTGGTGTATTTTGGTAATAAACCTTTGCCACCCAGTATAGAGCCAGGCCAGCCTGCACTACCATGCAGCCTGACAAGGCTCAATACTTCTGGAAGTTCAAATTTTGTTTATTTCCATAATTAAAATCTCTAAAACCTTTAAAGGGACTCCATTGAGTTTTTTTGACATGAAGAGATTAAAAAAATTTTTTTTCATGATTTTTGTATAAGTAGATGCATGACTGGTCCAATATCTCATGTACAAATTTTCAGATCATTCATTCATTCACTCTGTTTCCTAGAAATAATTAATTTTATTGTGAAAATTGGCCCCAAAAATGAAAACCGTTCGAACGCTTTCCAATCGGCTAAAAATCGCATAAAAATTGATTATTAATTTAATACCATGTATATTTATATATCATCTATTGCTTGATTTCAAATTTAAGTGTACTTAGTTGATTTAAGAAAAAATTTCAAAATTTATTATTTTAGGCTATTGGACCTCAGTGGAGTTCCTTTAAATGGACTGTTCCAAATTTAAAGCTGGGTAAATCCATTACACAAATTTAGCAGGTTAAGGGTGAAGCATATAACAAAATTCAAATTCACCATGATTTATAAAAGAAATTTAAAATTTTTACTGTGATTCTTGAATTCCGGCAAAAAACTAACAATCATCAAGGCAGTATATGTAGGTCTATGGGGAAGCTTTTATAACTCCTGTATATTTCAATGAATTGTAAAATTGTAACAAAACGGCCCTGGACTTAAACACAAATTCAAATTAAGAAATGTAATTGTTTCTTATCTATTTATATGATAAAGACCTGGGGGGAAGAGTCATTGTTTTTGTTTAACCGATTTACCTGTGTGCTTTGATCTTAATGTAAAATCTTGATAAATATTTCTTAAACTGTATCACAAACATTTCAGAAAATACACAAACAAACATAATTAATTTCAAGCATTGAATTCTCTTTGAAATATCCCTACCTCTACAAGTTTTCATTCTGTTAGTGACAGGGTACTTTCTAGCAGGTAGAAGTAAAGAAAATCAGACACCAATATAAAGGCATAAAGCTTTAAAGGGTATCTTTTATCATAAATATAACATAACATCACAGTCACTCAACCTGTTTTCCTTAATTTTCAATTCCTGAAAAAATCAAATTTTCAGATTTTAATATAATTTCACTCAAAAGTTCCATGACTAGAAGAATCATTTTCACATCTATTCAATTGATCCATTAATACAACAAACATATCTTCTTTCCATCAACCAAGAAAAACACACACGCACAAATAAATATCTTAAAATTTCAAAGAAAAATTCAACTTTTTTTATGAATATAAGTATGCATAACAACTATTTATAATTATTAATTTAACTTATTGTTTGTTGACAATATAGATGTCGAGAAATGACAAATTAAACAATGGAGAGATTGTCAGACTATCACATTATGGAAACACGACCAGTCCACGACTGTTTATATTTTTCTCAATTACCTCCCCTCTCACTAGACACCACCATATCCGTATTGTCCACAAAGATTTGTTTTCCCCACATAAGAAACTGCACTTTTCCTGATAGGTAAAGAATGATTTACGCGCATTATTTCAGCTTAGAAATTTTATCACGATAAGCGTAAGTTCATTAATTAAGCGGCCTGTAATGTCACAGCAACACGCGTGATTTACATACACTAAGTTTTATCAACACAACACATGTGACTTATATGTATACACAGTATTGGCTTTGAATATTTACTGCAACATGTGCGATTCACATACGTTTTGTAGTCAACACAACACGCGTGACTTTTATGAATACACAGTATTGGCTTTGAATATTTACTGCAACACGTACGATTCAAATACGTTTTGTAATCAACACAACACATGTGACTTATATGTATAAACACTATTGGCTTTGAATATTTACTGCAACACGTGTGATTCACATACATTTTGTAATCAACACAACACGTGACTTATATGTATACACAGTGTTGACCTGAACACATCTCAACCATATGCATATAACATTGAACAGAAACAACACAGTAACACATGTTGTCTTGAAACTGAAGCTGTATGGGTACTGAACTAGATTCCATTATGGTTTAAAAATAGATTTTTTCTTAAAACAGATCCCATTCATACAGCGTATCTGGCATTTGTTCCATGAATTCATGTATGTCGTAAGTTTGTAAAAATAAAATAAATGTGAGGACATTATAAGTATACTCCTATGTGTGTGTTGTAAGTTAGTAAACAAGTAAATATGAGGACATTTTCAAACATACTCTGTCCGTAGTTTGCCAGTACTTCATATTCTCCAGCCTCTCCAAGCTGAACGTGTTTGCTTCAATTTCGCAAATTCAACCTATGAAAGACATCTTCAAACTTGCTTGAAATCAAGTAATTTCAATTTCCTTTATCACCGGGCTCCTTCATATTAACCATCTACTGTAATCTCCAATCCGTGCCTTTATGAGAGAGGGTACTTATGCTAGCACGGAGTAGTCCGCTGTAAGTGTAACGGTACATGCCCGTTAGCCACACTCAGTCCATTCATATGCGCGTAACTGCTGCTCGAACTTTTACTACTTTCTTTACTACCATCACTTGAGCCACCTTTAGCACTAGAATTAGGACTTGGACAGTTATTACGTTTATATATATCTACAAGAGACTGCCCAGCTGCCCCCGCATGCTCTCTGAACATATTACAATCACAAATCTCCCCAGAACAGTCATTATTTCTGTTATGGGAGCTACAAGAACTAAGATGTGGGTACGTTCCAATATCACTACAAATATCCTGCAATTCTAAATCGTGCCCATTTGAGGCACCGACACCTAACATCGGTAGATTTGCTTCGTCAACGTAATCATTCATAGGCCTTTGCATATCGTCTTCATCGTCTTTATCAATGGAATCAAAATTATCATCGTCATGACTGTGATGATTGTGTGAGGCTCCGGTCGTGTGCTTCACCTCCTCGTACTTCGCACTTTCTTCACTGAAGAAATACGAGCAGTCTCTGAAACTCGGATCTAAGTCCGGTAATAACAGTTCAATGATTTCTTTGAATGTCGGTCTTTGTTTTGGTCTGTATCTCCAACACTTTACCATCAAATCGTATCTGAGAAATAAAATAACAGAATAAAGCTTAAGACAACAGCAAAAGGATCAATTTAAAATTAATTAAGATACAGAAATAATCATAATGTCCTGTTAGTCTTGTGTCTATTATCTGATCTAATCAACCAAGAAAAGTTTTGAAGTAAGATTTCTAGTTATTACTGAAATTTTGCTAAAATGAAACAAACAAAATCATCATAACATGTTATTTTATGCTATCATCATTCCTACATTAGCCTTGCTTTACCAGTATCCCAAACATTGCTTGACTGGTATCACATACATTGCTTTACCAGTATTTCAAGCATTGCTATACCAGTATCACACATTGTTTGACTGCTCTCCCAATACATTGCTTTACCAGTATCACATGCATAGGTATACCCGTATCACAAACATTACTTTACCGGTGTCACAAACATTACTATACCTGTGTCACACATTACTATACCTGTGTCACACATTGCTATACCTGTGTCACACATTGCTATACCTGTGTCACACATTACTATACCTGTGTCACACATTACTATACCTGTGTCACACATTACTATACCTGTGTCACACATTACTATACCTGTGTCACACATTACTATACCTGTGTCACACATTGCTATACCTGTGTCACACATTGCTATACCTGTGTCACACATTCCTATACCTGTGTCACACATTACTATACCTGTGTCACACATTACTATACCTGTGTCACACATTACTATACCTGTGTCACACATTACTATACCTGTGTCACACATTGCTATACCTGTGTCACACATTGCTATACCTGTGTCACACATTACTATACCTGTGTCACACATTACTATACCTGTGTCACAAACATTACTATACCTGTGTCACACATTACTATACCTGTGTCACACATTACTATACCTGTGTCACACATTACTATACCTGTGTCACACATTGCTATACCTGTGTCACAAACATTACTATACCTGTGTCACACATTACTATACCTGTGTCACACATTACTATACCTGTGTCACACATTACTATACCTGTGTCACACATTACTATACCTGTGTCACACATTGCTATACCTGTGTCACAAACATTACTATACCTGTGTCACACATTACTATACCTGTGTCACACATTCCTATACCTGTGTCACACATTGCTATACCAGTGTCACACATTGCTATACCTGTGTCACACATTACTATACCTGTGTCACACATTGCTATACCTGTGTCACACATTACTATACCTGTGTCACACATTACTATACCTGTGTCACAAACATTACTATACCTGTGTCACACATTACTATACCTGTGTCACACATTACTATACCTGTGTCACACATTGATGATACCTGTGTCACAAACATTGCTATACCTGTGTCACACATTGCTATACCTGTGTCACACATTACTATACCTGTGTCACACATTACTATACCTGTGTCACACATTACTATACCTGTGTCACACATTACTATACCTGTGTCACACATTGATATACCTGTGTCACAAACATTGCTATACCTGTGTCACACATTGCTATACCTGTGTCACACATTGCTATACCTGTGTCACACATTGCTATACCTGTGTCACACATTGCTATACCTGTGTCACACATTGCCATACCTGTGTCACACATTACCATACCTGTGTCACACATTGCTATACCTGTGTCACACATTACTATACCTGTGTCACAAATTACTATACCTGTGTCACACATTACTATACCTGTGTCACACATTGCTATACCTGTGTCACACATTACTATACCTGTGTCACACATTACTATACCTGTGTCACACATTGCTATACCTGTGTCACACAAACATTTCTCATACCTGTGTCACACATTCCTATACCTGTGTCACACATTACTATACCTGTGTCACACATTACTATACCTGTGTCACAAACATTGCTATACCTGTGTCACACATTGCTATACCTGTGTCACACATTGCTATACCTGTGTCACACATTACTATACCTGTGTCACACATTACTATACCTGTGTCACACATTACTTACCTGTGTCACACATTACTATACCTGTGTCACACATTCTATACCTGTGTCACACATTACTATACCTGCATCACACATTACTATACCTGTGTCACAAACATTGCTATACCTGTGTCACACATTGCTATACCTGTGTCACACATTGCTATACCTGTGTCACACATTACTATACCTGTGTCATACATTGCTATACCGGTGTCACAAACAATGCTATACCTGTGTCACACATTGCTATACCTGTGTCACACATTGCTATACCTGTGTCACACATTGCTATACTGGTATCACACACATTGCTATACCTGTGTCACACATTGCTATACCTGTGTCACACATTGCTATACCTGTGTCACACATTGCTATACCTGTGTCACACATTGCTATACCTGTGTCACACATTCCTATACCTGTGTCACACATTGCTATACCTGTGTCACACATTGCTATACTGATATCCCAAACATTTCAATCAACTTACAATTTAGTAGGACATCCCTCTGGGGCATCCATAATTTTGCCAGAGCCCACATATTTTAAAACCTGTTCATTAGATAAGCCTTGGTAAGGCTGGGCGGCTAATGTTGCCATCTCCCAAAGCACAACTCCGTATGACCTGAAAAAAAAACAACAACAAATATATATATATACTTTGAGTATTATGATTACTTTAATAATAAGATACAAGAGGGCCATGATGGCCCTGAGGTCGCTCACCTATATATAGGCCCCCGGAGCGGGGCCAGTTTAACCCCAGGGCTTTTATTTGAGCAAACTTGGAAGACACCTATTAGAAGATGTTTTCATGATGTTAAGTTTTTACTACACACATGTAATGAAAAACAATGACCTCCGCCCCACCCCCCCCCCCCCCCCCCCTTTGGCAGGGCCGATTTTAACCCAAGGGCTTTTATTTGGACAAACTTGGAAGACTACAACAAAAAGATGTTTCCTGCTTAAAATCTAACCTCTAGCTCATTGGGTTTTTTAAAAGAAATTTTTTTAAGTTTTTACTATACACATATAGTTAAAAACAATGACACCTCTGGGGCGGGGCCTGTTTTAACCCCAGGGCTTTTATTTGAACAAACTTTGTAGACACTTACTAGAAGATGTTTCATTCTTAATATCTAAACTCTAGCTATTTGGGTTTTTTCAAAGAAGATTTTTAAGTTTTTGCCATACACATATAAGGAAAATCAATGACCCCCGGGGAGGGCCAATTTTGACCCCAGGGCTTTTATTTGAACAAACTTTGTAGACACCCATTAGAACATGTTTCATGCTAATATATCTTAGCTCTATCTCTTTGGGTTCTTTAAAAGAAGATTTTTTAAGTTTTTACAATATGCATATAGGGAAAATCAATGACCCCCTGGAGCGGGGCCAGTTTTGACCCCCAGGGCTTTTATTTAAACAAACTTGGTAGACACTCACTAGAAGATGTTTCATGCTTAATATCTAAACTCTAACTTTTTGGTTTTTTTCAAAGAAGATTTTTAAGTTTTTGCCATACACATATAAGGAAAATCAATGACCCCCGGGGCGGGGCCAATTTTGACCCCAGAGCTTTTATTTGAACAAACTTTGTAGACACCCATTAGAACATGTTTCATGCTAAATATCTTAGCTCTAGCTCTTTGGGTTCTTTAAAAGAAGATTTTTTAAGTTTTTACTATATGCATATAGGGAAAATCAATGACCCCCTGGGGCGGGGCCAATTTTGACCCCAGGGCTTTTATTTGAACATAACGCTTGACAAAAAGCGATCACAAAAGCTCACCCTGTCACTTTGTGACAGGTGAGCTAAAAAAGATCAGTTGTGCTTGAAGTTTCATTGAGCTACACTCCAGCGTCCTTCCTGTGACTGACTGACCAGTTGTAATGTCAAATGAAAGAAACATGGTTGTGAACCAAGAAGTGATGCAAACAATAATCCTTGGGTCGCCAGGCAGTCAGACACCTTAGCTAGTAGGCCATCACCCTAATACATTTCACTCCTTAAACTTCAGTGACAAAACAATCCAAAATGTAGACATTGTCTTTTTAATCATTTTTGTATGGGAATAATACAATATTGTATATATATATTTCTTGCATATCAGACAGGATTATCTACCGTTAACACCGGTGCTAGAAAACCCTGTATTACACCCCCCCATGTAAGAAAAGTCGCGTGCCGCGCGCCTTTTATGAATGAATTGCGTTCTTAGGATGAAGTCATTTTTCTGTTATGAATGAAGATGTATGTTCATACGCTACTATCAGAAAAAAGTGCATAATGAGAATATCAGTTTTCATAATTTCTGTTCCAAAAATGATTGACATGTAATATGCAAGAAAAAGAATCAAACACCGGCTGTTGGTACAGACGGGAATATCTAGTTCTTGGTAACTGTCTAGCGGAAACTCGGCAGAGCCTCGTTACCACTGTAAACAGTTACCCTCGAGCTAGATATTCCAATCTGTACCGGCAACTAGTGTAAGATTCTTATAATCTACAAATATTAATAAGAAAGCATATGAGCCGCGTCACGACAAAACCAACATAATGGGTTTGTGACCAGCATGGATTCAGACCAGCTTGCGCACCCGCGCAGTCTGATCAGGATCCATGCTGTTCGCTTACCAACTCTTTTACAAGTACAGCAGCATTGATCTGGATCAGACTGCGCAGATGTGCAGGCTGGTCTGGATCCATGCTGGTCGCAAACCCATTACAGTCGACTCCGGTTATAACGAACTCAATGGGACATTAAAATATCGTTCGTTATATCCGAAGTTCGCTAAAAGCGAAGTAGCAACAATTTTCTGACTTGTTTGGATGGGGAAATTTGCCATGAAAAAGCCATACTCTTCACTGGTTACCTGTGTAACAGGTAGTTTACTGCAGCGGTTATTTAATGGTTATTTAATACAGGTCATTTTATTGAGCATATATTATGTACATGGTACATAAATTTATTCATGTATTGTCTATGAAGTTCTTACCATTTGTTTTCTTTTGCTATTTGTTTATTATCGTTTGGTTAATATTGCAAACACAAAAAAATCGATTACTTGGCAATTATTGGGCATTTACATCAATCAACTGAGGGTGTGAAATACAAATTTTCCGTAACAAGTAGGAAATTATGTTGTGAGAACATTTTTCAAAATCTTTATTCCCTGAAGCCATAACTAACCTGTGCAATCATTCGATTGTTTAATTATCGGATAGTGTTATTCGTGTACTGATCCTAATCGAGCGCATCCCGATATTTCAATTATAACAGTTTGTTATAACCGAGGAAATTTAAATGTTTTCCGTCATTTGGGGCCTTGAAAAATGGTTCGTTATAGCCGAAAATTCGCTATAAGCGAGTACGTATTAAGCGATGTGATTTAATATAAAATAAAGAAGGAATCGGCCGGGGATGTCAGATTTAGTTCGCTATTAACGATAATTCGTTATAAGCGAGTTCGTTATAAGTGGAGTCGACTGTATGTTGGTTTTGTCATGATGCAGCTCATATGTCTCAAGCAAAACGAGAGCAATGTTTTCATGTTGTTAACTGATTTAAGTCCTTCTTTATTTCATATATGTTACTGCAGTTTTGCTGCCAACCCTTAATATGAATTTCTTGTTTAAAACATTAAGATTAAATCTGTTTGTTTTTCTGGTTTTTACAGCAATTTTAAGACAATATTTGTGATATATTAGCCGTCAATCTACATAGTCTTCTTTTTTAGATACAGCTAAAGATTACAACATATGAATAGAGCAAGAGGCGCGGAGGAAGGTAGTCTAGTACTGGTGTAACTCTCCAGGAACGATGGTTAGGAAACTACCCGCCTATATGACTGAAATACTGTTGGGAAAAGGCGTAAAATGAAACAAACAAACAAACAAATAGAGTAAGAGACTTACCAGACATCTGTTAAGCTGGTGAACACTCCGTCTTTGAGAGATTCTGGTGGCATCCATCTTACAGGTAACAACCCGCGACTTCCCTTTCTATAATAATCTGTCTCGTAAATGTCACGAGTCATTCCAAAATCTAAATTTAGAACAAAAACAACATTTTAATGCGTATAAATTTATTAAGTTTATTTCATATGCCAAAAATAGAGGCACAGATGAATAAGGAAATGAAGATTCACAACGGCTGGTAAAACAATCATAACAGAGGGCAAAATATGGATAACAAAAATGATCTTGACTACATAATCAATGCATTTACACTAAAACCACATACCCTACTTTAAACTTGTAGATAATGTTTCATTTTATTTTCCATACAAATAATTCATTATCTTTCATGTACAGCAATCTGGAACCATTGAATTTTCATGAACATTTATCAGGAACAATTGCTCTTTTATGTACATTATCAACCAGTCATGTACATTAATCAGGAACAATTGCTCTTTTATGTATTGATCTTTCATGTACATCAATCAGGAACAACTGATCTTCTATGTAAATAAATCAGGAACAATTGACCTCTGATGTTAATAAATCTGGAACAATTGACCTTTTATGTATATTAATCAGGAACAATTGATTTTTCATGTACATTTGTTAAAAACAATAAATCTTTCATGTGCATAAATAAGGAACAATTGATATTTCATGTACATTAATCAGGAACAATTAATCTCTAATGTACATAAATCTGAAAAATTAATCAGGAACAATCAATGGTAATGAATAACCTCACCTCCTATTTTTACAGTCATATCCTCCCCTACCATACAGTTTCTAGCTGCCAGATCTCTATGTACAAATTTTTTATCAGCTAAGTACGCCATACCATCGGCAATCTCCCCAGCCATCTGTAGAATTTGTTTTAATGTTGGCGGCTGACGTCCATCGTTTTCCTGTAAAATAATGAGTTACTGTTTAGTAATGTCAATCACACTACAGTCCAACCCCGTTTATTCGAAGTGCCTGGGACTGAATATTTACTTCGAATAATCGATGGGTTTGAATAATCGAAATCGAAATATTGTGATAGACGAAAACTACTCCACTTTGACCAATCATCGCAAAACTACCGTTTATAACACACTTGCTTCCTCTAATCAATTGAGAAAAATAAATATTTAAGAATTAAAAATTATTGTATTGACATTAAAGACATAAATACTTGCATTTTATTTTACATTATGTATCGTTTCGTTTCGCTCAAAGCCTTGATAATAGCCGTGTCGTCACTACGGTATTTACAGCTAAACTCTGGTGTTTTCGATTAGGATAAATTAAGGCTCTCATGTAGCGTTGCAATTAATGAAAAAAATGTTTTGCATGTTTTGACAAATTCACATATACGGACTGTATAAAAATTATTGCTGTTATCTTTAACAAAATCGGACACGGTGCATAGCTATTCATTTTCGGTAATCAAAGTTGATTAAAGAACACACAAAGAGTTATTATCATGATTGTCTAATTACAAGCATGACTGTTGATATTTTTCACAAGTCGACTGGTCAGCGAGTGGATCTGCGCCAATTAGTCTGGTTTCGAATAATAATTAGGCTGGCTTCGAATAATAGGTGTGAAATTCTTTCATAATTTTATAATCGGGACCGAAATTTTACTTCGAAAAATAGGAGGTATTCGGATAATGCATTTCGAATAATACGCTCGTATTTATATTGTTTTATATAGAGATAAAAACAGGACCGCCGATCTACTTCGGATAATGCCCGGTATTCGAATAAAGGGTTGTCGAATAACCGGGGTCGGACTGTATTTGTTTGAAGGTGTTTATACAAGTTAAGTGTCAACTCGTCTTAAAACCAGATATGCCACCGGGCAGAACGTCAAGCTTCAGATCAAAGAGAAAGATGTATGTATGGTTTATCTTGTATTAGAGTGCAATATAATAAAAGAAATAGATAGCACCACTCCCAAGTCTGACTTCTAAGTCAGCCCTAAACAATCAATATCTAATATTATATTTTAAAAACACAGTAAGAGAGAAGATTTATCTTTAAAGACAGAGTAAGAGGGAAGATTTATCTTTAAAGACAGAGTAAGAGGGAAAATTTATCTTTAAAGACAGAGTAAGAGAGAATATTTATATTAAAGACACAGTAAGAGAAAAGATTTATATTAAAGACAAAGTACGAGGGAAGATTTATATTAAAGACACAGTAAGAGAGAAGATTTATATTAAAGACACAGTAATAGAGAAGATTTATATTAAAGACACAGTAATAGAGAAGATTTATATTAAAGACACAGTAATAGAGAAGATTTATATTAAAGACACAGTAAGAGAAAAGATTTATATTTAACCCTTTAGCTGCCAGAGGGTTATTGTTTTATTGTTCACCTATTTGCCAGAGGATTTTCTAAGAAATTATTATATTATTAATAAATATAATTATTATTATTTGTTATATGTATTATAATAATTATATATGTTTCCAAATCTGTTGATATAATAATAATAATTGTCAATGGTATAATTTTCTTTATATTTATTATTATTTTTATTATTATTATTATTAATTTATTATTATTACTATTATTATTATAGAAACGGCTAAAGCCGTCCATATGGCAAATACGCCGAAAATAAAAGGGACGGCTTAAGCCGTCCCTATGGCAGTGAAAGGGTTAAAGACACAGTAAGAGTGAAGATTTATATTAAAGACACAGAAAGAGTGAAGATTTATATTTAAAGACACAGTAAGAGAGAAGATTTATATTAAAGACACAGTAAGAGAGAAGATTTATATTAAAGACACAGTAAGAGAAAATATTTATATTTAAAGACACAGTAAGAGTGAAGATTTATATTTAAAGAAACAGTAATAGAGAAGATTTATATTCAAAGACACAGTAAGAGGGAAGATTTATATTCAAAGACACAGTAAGAGGGAAGATTTATATTAAAGACACAGTAATAGAGAATATTCACCTCCTCATCCGGACGATGTAATCTAAGGAAATGTTTGAGATCACCGTTTAACATCAGTTCCATCAACACATATGCGGGCTGACCCTGTGATACCACACCTATAAGCTTCACTACATGATGACAACTAAACTGTCTGAAATAGCAAAAAAACATATAACAAGTTACCTTACTTTCCTATGAATTTTATCACTCTTAAACGAAATCTGAAATAAAGCATTACCTTGCTGAAACAAAAAAGTGATTAGCCTTTGCCATCTGTTAATAGCTAGACCTAAGCCCGCAAAATACATTTTTCCTAATAAACAAACGGAAGCTTATGATTAGAAAACTAATGCAGAAGTAATAAAAATTTACGTACAGGTTGGTCTTACTAATATTATGTGGTCCCACATTGTCTTTGTATATTGGTCATCTTTTGAATACAGACAAGTGAACCTTGAAGACGGATAAGTAAAATTTTTAAGTTACTTGTCAAGTTACTTGTCGGTGGACAAGTAAAATTTTCAGAGATTTTACCAGCCTTGTGTCTGACCAGGCTTTATACTGTTGGCTGAAGAAGTTATTTTCATCTTGATAACCCAAAAAACTCAAATGGCAAACAATTCCAAAATGCAACCAGCATTTAAGAAAATTCAATAGGTTATGTCAAAATATTAAACTAAGGGGGACAACTTATCTTAAAACAAAATTATGTCAAACATTATAATTACCTCCCCTGTGATCATTTTCTGACTCCCAATGAAACACAAAATGATTCACTAAACAAACCATGACTGTGCATTAATCTAAATATAATCTAGAGAAATAATTACCTTAAACAGTCAAATAATTACATTTTATAGTCTCTTTTTTTTCTTTCTTTTTTTTCCTGATATGGCTTATTCAGTGGTATAAACAAAACACAAAAGTTCTTTTCACTGTTAAATTCTTTTTTTCATATAACAACTTTCCAGCTTTACTGATAAAGGAAGACCTAACCTGATTAGCACCACTGACAATCAGTGAGGATAGTTTTCTCACATTAATGAATCAAAACAGGCTGGCCTGGCTCAAACCTAAAGCAGTGAGGGGCAAGAGGTTTGAATCAAATGACCTTTACCACTTGGCCAGACGCCCCAACTGTTTCATTTAAATGACAGGAGCATTAAACAGTTTAAGAAAAGATGGCATGTTATAAAACCTCGACCTTTCTTTGCTCCGAATCTACTCCGATTTCAACATAATTTTAGTGATATTTCAATAGTCGGTCCATTAAACCGTCTTTCCTTGATAACTAACCAGTGACTTCTAATTTCTATTTTCTCCCCAAATAACAGACTTGTAAGAGATTTATTGTCATGCAGAAATTTGACCCCACCCAAGATGGGAAACAGCAAGCCCTGGTTTAATGAATGGTTTACCTATTAAGTTGAGGGGACGGACATTAAATCTTAATCAAATACAAAGGTACACTAGCGCGTCAATAAGAATACGTACTTCATAATGGATGCCTCCTGTAAAAATTGGTATCGATCATGATCCGTGCTGTTTTCATTGGTCGTTTTCACTGCTACTTTAATTATATCATCGCTGCCCGACACTAGGTTCTTAACCAAGCCCATGTACACCATACCAAATGAACCTTGACCCAGATCTTTTATCAACTGGACATTGTCTCTCTTAACTTCCCACTCATCTGGTTCATAAACTGAAAAATAGAAATGTTGGAACATCTTTTTAGGGATAGCAACAAATACCGAAACTAATACTGGAGTACTCAGTCATTTTTCCGATTGAGTTACTAAGATGATTTCCAATGATCTTCAAAGATTTACCACACAATATCTTCAAAGATTTACCACACAATATCAACACCGTCTGCATGCTACTTTAATTTTCTATTTAAATTCATAGAATTTGTAACTATAAATAGGACTGCCAGGGAGGTAACTGAGAATAACCAATAAACAAATATTTAAAATTAGATCAACAATATTATATTTTGCAGCGTTTTAATAAGTACACAATTTAAGGTAATTAGATATCATAAGAGGCCGAATGATGTAAGCGACACAGGTGTTCACTCCCATGCCCTTGTCAAACTGTTGATCACCTTGTTAAATTCACAATTCCATTTTAACTGATGGGAGAAACCCTAAGATGTCCCTTTATTCATTATAAGGCACCTCAGGCATCTGAGTAAAACCACTGACCTTCAGTCAGCTAGCTGGATAGCTACCTCACTCAAAGGGATCCACAGCCTGTGGCGGGAATCAAACATACTTAGGTGAAAGGTGAGTGATTTGTAGCGGACATCCTTAACCACTCGGCCACAGAGAGTCCATTATAATTCAATGTTAATTTATGTCCTCCAATATTCCTCTTTATTCATTTTCAGGCTGAAGTTGGCACCTTGAAATAACTACTTTTTTGAAAGCTTGTTTGACAGCTTCCTCCCATTAAAGAACATACCTGTGAGGAATCTGAACTAGTGGTAATGAGAGTCAAATAAAGAGAAATTTCCACTCAACAAGGAATACTTCTGTCTGTCTGTTTAATTTACATCACACCCACACATTTTAGGTCATATGGCGATGTTCAAGCTTTACTGGTAGAGGAAGACCTCAGGTGCCCTTCCGTGCATTATTTCAGGCAAGAACAGGTACCTGTGTAGAACCACCGAAGTTCTGTAAGCTAGCTGGATAGCTTCCTCACATGAAAGAATCCAAAGTCCCTGTCAGGATTCGAACCCACAACGATGAGGGCAAGTCAATGACATTAACCACTCGGCCATGGACGCCCCATAAAACAAGGGATATGATTTCCTACTGATTAGGAGGAGGAAAGATTTCTGAATTTTACAAGAACATATCCCACATTTTGGCAACTAGATGAAAGAATATCATGCCACAAATACTTACTATAGTACGCCATTTCAGGGTAATCAGGATTGGTTGAAATCAAAACACCACCACGCGCCAATTTAACGTACCTTTAAATATAAATGAATTCTGTATATAGTTTCAAATTTACACGCATGACCGTATAAAGTCTGTATAAAGTAAGTGAATACATCAGGTTAAATGTATAGAGGCAGGTTGTGTCATTTGTTACCTATGTAACAACTTCATTTAAGTCCATTTATATATTCAAGTTCAATAACTTCAGGTTTATTAAAGGGAATCCACTGAGGTTTTTGACATAACTTGACTGAAAATATTTCTTTTAAGATTAATGTTCCATTTGATATAGGTCCAGGCCAATAACTTCGGTCCAAAATTTCATATAATTCGCTCACTCTGTTTTTCAGGAGTAAGTATTTAAATCATAAAATTTACTCCAAAAAATACCTAAACTTAAAAAGCGTTGCAATGCTTTTCACTCAAATCTGGCTAAGAATAGCACAAAAAATACGATTTTTTAATTTATTTCAGTGTATATTTCTTTTACTATCTTTCGCATATCTCTCCATTTTAAGTGCCCAAACTGATCTGAGGTCTATGTTTTTAGGCTTTTGGACTTCAGTGGAGTTCCTTTAAGACATACATTATCACCTTAAGCTTAGGTTAGAAATAGAATATCAATTTTAAATTAATTAGCTTCATTAGTAAAATACTGGTAAAAAAAATCTTACTTCCTTCTTGCGATGAACCAGACTATAATTACAGCAATTGGAATAGCTAGGACACATGTTATGCTGACAGCTATAACCATCTGAGTGTTACTGCTCTCCTCTATAAAAAATAAAACATACACTTTATATCATCTTAACAACCCTAAAAATGTTAAATGGGCTAGTCCATCTTTCAATCTGGACGAAACCATTCATAATTTTTTAGGGAAAATTTCAAAAATATGTACTGACTGAATAGCAAACAATGCAGACCATGATCAGTCAGGATGAAAGCCCGCTGAAGTTCATCTGCATTGGTCGCTTGGGTAAAATCTGTTGCTGCTTAGGAAGGAAAGCGTTTAAATCAAGTCTCTATTCCAATTCATTCACCCTATGCTACCAAGTGTTTAGTAACGAAGTGTCAAAAAATCATCTTACTGAGATTGACACTTTTCCAAAGCCATGTATTTTTGCAATTCATACATTGCATTTACATAAGTAATGAAGGAGAAAATTTATACAGCTTACATATCTACATCTATCTTGATATAATCAACTTCCAATGAAAATATTTTGTCATTGTCAGGTTTGAATGAGACAAAGTTAAATATATTTTGTTCAGTTTAAACTATCTGAAGAATAGGCTAGAATGATATATGAAGTTAGATATAGTGTAAAAGAAACATATTTCAGAACTGGAATTTGAGTCTTAAATATTGACCCCCTGACTTATAAGAGCTTTGTCTTAACAGTGAGTCAATATAACAAATATATATTGTTTTGGACCTAGTGTAAAAGTAACATACTTTAAAACTATTATTTTATTGATAAATATCAATCCCCACCTTATAAGGGGTTCGTCTTTACAATGAGTAAATATTGTTAAATATCAACCCCTGTCTTAAAGGAGATCTGTCTAAACAGTGAGTAAATACAAAATGATATATACAAACTTACCTTCTTTGGCCTCAATGTTAAAGTAGACTGGGTCTGTCCAGGAACCATTGCCGGCAAGTGATGTGGCTCGCAGTTTGAACGTATAATTTCCGGGTTCTAGTTTATCGAGTACATGGCCTCCTTTACCCTCGTCTCTATATTGGGCATATGTTATACAAATCAACGTCGGTTTCACCTGAAATATAAAACCAATATTTGGTTGATTTGATTTCAAAATTGTTTAACACTGTTAATTACCACAGTTTTGGTTATAACTTAGTCCATTTGGTCCAATTAACTTGCTTTCAAGGATAAATAACAAGTATTAGCCAATTTCGCAGCAAGTGACCGACCACTTATCCCACTTGGTACAGGAATCAAATTAGCGGTGAGAGAAAAATGATCATTCGACTAATTATCCTAAATCAATTATTGTCACAGAGAGAAATTTCACCCAAGCATCGTACAACAACCCCTGAGCTACAAATCCAATGCTCTCCCTATTGAGTTACATAGGTCAACATCAAACCAATGAACTCAGAAAATTTGTGGTAAAGCCCCAGTCACATTAGAGTTTATGACCAGTAAAGACAACTTCACGATCACCAGTGACCACTGGTCGCGGACAATCTTTAAAATGTTTTACGACGGTCATCGGTGATCTTCGATAGTCGCAGGTTATCTTATTCAGGTCCCACGACCAATTTCAGTCGAAGAGAGGTTTTTGAGCTTGCACAAAAACCTCTCTGTGATCAAACGGGTTGCTTGTGATCTTATAAGGTCTTAGGTTGTTGCACGATCGTCGCTCGAAAGTGCGACAGTCTTTACAAATTGCCACTAGTCACTGATAACCTTGAGTAGTCTTTAGTAATCGTGTGATGGTCGTACGACAAGTTGTAGGTGATCGCATGACAGGTCACGGGTAGTCGTAAGTAATCCCAGGCAATCTTGAGACCATTGTACGTTTGCTGATGACCAGTCGTGCGATTGTCAATGATGATTGGTCGTTCTATAATAGCAGAAGTAAATTTATCTGTTCCAAGAGGGCTTGGTCGCAGTCAATCACCGATGATCGTCGGTTTTACACGTCGCCGGTAGTCGCAAGTAATCGTAAGCTCTAGTGTGACTGGGGTTTAAGAAAATATAATTTTTTAAATCTCTGATGAAAAATATAATACATTATCTACGTTATGTCATCTCCTTTCTAAAAAACCAATCTACTTAAATAAACAGTTTTGGTAACTCTCAACAAATACAAGACAATGGCAAATACTTACATTGTTAATATTTTGATTCATATATTCGATATCATAAGTAAGAATGAGTCCATTAGGATTTGGCGGGTCCTTCCATTTGATATGAACAGCACTTGTCCGGTTGGCAAGTGCGATCACCTGAACTAGACTTGAGTTAATACTATCAGCAGTATCTGAAATACAGTGAACAAACGTGTATAAGACCAGTATGTAAACAGTATTGGAGGACGATTTCTGGTGTAAAAAATATTCTTTTTCAACCTGCACCTCCTGGATTTCTGTAATGGATTTGCCCTGCTTTGAATTTGGAAGAGTTCATTTGAAAATTTACGTATTTTTTTAATTTCAAAATGCAAACTTTAAATTACCAACAGTATAAAATTCATTTTCTATTCGAGCTGATTAATGAATAAATACAACCGGATTTGTCAAATCGTAATAATCGTAATATACCTAAATAATTAACGTAATCTGACAGCGAAAAAATTATGATACTGTCACTTTAAATTTCCAATTTATCAAACAAATTATGCTCTTTTTTTCACTATTGTTACATTGATTATTTAAGTTCTACACCATTTATTTCTCTACACATTTTGGCCTACATAGTTTGCTATTATTTAGGTCGTTTTACTATCTAAGCACCTACCATCTGGTAAAGTTCGTCCAAAACCAAGAGCCTGGTTCCCACACAACATGTCCTTTTTTGGATCAGGTGGACGTGTATGACATGCTGTGACCTGTTTATTAGATTATAATTATTATGTAAGATTGTCATGATTGTCTTATTATATATATATGAGCCATATCATGACAAAACCAACATAATGGGTTTGCAACCAGCATGGATCCTGAGCTGCCTGTTCATCTGCACAGTCTAATCAGGATCCATGCTGTTCGCTTACAAACCCTATAGCTAGTAGAGAAACTGATAGCAAACAGCATTGATCCTGATCAGACTGTGCGGATGCCCAGGCTGGTCTGGATCCATGCTGGATGCAAACCCATTATGTTGGTTTTGTCATCGCGGGACTCAATTACAACTTTTTCTTAACTCATAGCACGCAAGCGACAACTGATTCAACCAATGTGAACAGTGCAGACCAGGATCAACTGGCATGTCAACGCTGTCTGATCAATTGTCTGCACTGTTTGCTATTCAGTCAGAACCTATTTTGAAATTTTTATCTAAAACTGATCAGTGGTATTATCCAGATTGAAAGTCCATATAAAATATTTAGCAGTGTAAGAAATTTTTTTCTCAAAAAGTGCTTTAAAACAGAAATTTTGTGCTCTGTGTATATATTCAAATCAGGAAATTGAAATGTTGCCTATAAAAACAGGTTATATAGATGTAGTCATTCAACAAAGGTGATCTTGCCTAAAAAAAGCCAAAAGTTACAGTACTTAATTTAACAAAAAAAATATAAATAAATAAATAAAAAAAAATCAGCATTTCTAAGTTCAATTCATATAAGTAAAAGACCTAGTACTTACCTCTATATTGTAAACTTCAAAATGTCCAAGACCTGTGATAATAAACTTTCTCTTCTCGTACACATCTGCTTTTAAAAATGTATTTTCATCGTTAATATCTATTTTCTGATCTTCCTCTGAAGCCACAGGTGTAGTCGTGGAAACGTTAGTCCCAGAAATATTACCATTTGGTGCAAGAGTTGTGGAGATCGGTTTCTGGCGGTCATTGCCCGGTGACTGGCATTGTAACTGTTTGGGATTCTGGGGGTTATTGCTTTGTTTGTACTTCTTGACCTGATGTAATTTGGCAATAGATTTCTTTGAGGATTCTGTGTATGGGCCGAGGAGGTATCTGGAAACTGTGGCGGCACTAGGTAAGATAGTGGTAGCTGCGATGGTCAACCTAAAAATAAATCAAATATAAAATAACATTATTTACAACCATGGTCTAAAAAAAAAGGATATACTTTTATCTATCATTTTATTAAAAGCATTGCTAAATATCGATGGCAGTTATAAAGCAGGTTTCTCACTGATAAACAGGCTTTTAACTTGCAAACATTTTATAATACATTTGTATATGGAAAATACTAACATTTCATTTCACATATGTGCACTAGAGGGTCACCAGTCAACTTTATATCTCTATATATGATGAATGGACTTGTCCACATTGAAAAATGGACATTTCCATTTAAGATATTTAGCACGGTAGGGCTTAAGTCAAGATTCTATACGTTCATATATATTGAAGCCAGTGACAAAACTAAATACTGCAAAATCTTTATTATTTGTGGGAAACTAATTTCTGTTGTCTTCATGAATGCTATAAGATTATTTTGTATTACATTATTTACATTTTCACTCTTGGGGAAAAACAGACACAAATTTAAGAAACCATAAAAAATGTTCTTTGAGACAAAACCACAAAATTTTAGGCCCATGAAATTAAGTGAATTTACAGTAATAATAAAACGTGTTACCTTTTAATGTAGACCTGGTTTTGGAGATTGTCCTGGAACTGTATGCCAAGATTTCTCTCCCTTTCTTCTTTCTTTTGCTGGGTTTCCGATTTGGGGCACGCACAACAAAAGCCGTCCCTAGTTGAGTTCTTTTTCTCTTCTTCTTTTTCTTTTAATTCTTTTTCTTCTTTCTCTCTTGTACTCATGGTCATTGTCAAAGCTAAAAATAACAAGGTCATAAAATGTCAAGGTCATTTTAGAGGTCAAGGTCATATCTAAAATCTTAAAAAAATAAATCTTACGCATATATTGTTGTGTTGCTTTCAATTTGGCACCGTCCATTAATTTATATCAGGGATTTCAAACTTTAGGCACTTGAATTGTTTACTAAATTAGTGACAATAACTGTTTTAGGATAAAAAAAAAGAGTATTTCTGTTGGTTTAATTGGTTTGGTTTTATGTTGCACCAACACGGTATAGGTCATATGGCGACTTCTAGCTTTCTTGGTGGAGGATGACCTCAGGTGACCCTATATAAAATTATTTCAGGAAAAACGAGCATCCAAGAAGAACCACCAACATTTGAAAGCTAGTTGGGGAGCTTTCGTCCAATGGCCATGGAAGAGTTTGAAGACGCAGGTGCAAATCGTAACTACAGTGGTGAGAGACAAGTGGCTTGAAGTCAATAACCTTACCCACTTGGCCACGGACACCTCAGTGAAGAGAGTAAACCTTGGAAAATCACACTAATCAGAAATAAAATATACGCAACTATTTGCAATCAAGGTGATACATTTAATGCATTTAATACAAAATATGACAGAATTTTATCATCTACTATTTCTATCAAGTGCTTAAAAGGAATAGGTCCATAATGGAAGGTCTGTTTTGTTTGTTTGTTTTGGGTTTTACGTCACATCGACACAGTATAGGTCATATCGCGACGTTCAGAGCTTTACTGGTGGAGGAAGACCTCAGGTGCCCTTCCGTGCATTATTTCAGGCAAAAACGGGTACCTGAGTAGAACCACTGACATTCCGTAAGCTAGATGGATAGCTTCGTCACATGAAAGAATCCAAAGTCCCTGTCGGGATTCGAACCCACAGCGGTTAGGGGCAAGTGGTAGGAAGGTCTGATAATCATGGTATAAGTATTTAGTTTCATATATGACAACAAACCATGAAAGAATTATATATGGATGTTGTTGGTAAATGTGAGATACATGATCTGATATAAAATATCTATATATACACGTGGAAATAAGTTAAGCACACACTGGAAATTTAATATTGGTTGTGATTGCAAGCATTATCATAAGATGGCTAGGAAATAGTAATTTGATATGTAGCGATACCAATTTAGTAATCATAAAACCTGTAAATATATGAGTTTAGTTGATTCTTCACAGAATTATTGAAGCATAAGCAAAAATATGTTGTTTTTTACCAAAAATGTAAGTGTTTATAAGTATGGTGTTGGAACGTTTACAAAACATTTACAGGTGGATATTTTTGGTAAATGTTAACCTAAAATAACATTACGTAGCAAAATTTTTGATAGCGTGTGTAACCGCCACATGCCCCTATGATAGCCTCAACCCTTCTACTCATACTACCAGTCAGACGTCTAATGCCATTTTGTCGTAAATTTTGTCATTCTTGGTGCAAAGCTTGTTCCAGATGTTGCAAGTTGACTACAGCTGGTTCGTACCATTGCCCCCCAAAAAATTAAAAATTTCAGGTGAGGCCATGTCAAAATTGAGGCAAAATGCAGGGTGTGAAGAGACTGGTTGAGGCTATCATACGGGCAAGTGGAGGTTACACACGGTATTAAAAATTTGGAGACATGCATGCTTTTTATAATAAAGGGGATACTTACGTTGTGAACAGTAATTCCTGAGCTCATATTCTGATTGGTCAAACTTTTGTTTCTGCCAGTATATTTCATAATGTGTCACATTTCCATTGGGCTTATCCGGTGGGCCCCAGGTCACTTCTAGTTCACCGGGTACCTTAGCTATGACCTTGAGGTTGACAGGTGGTGTCGGGACTGAAAAAAAACAAAAAAAACAGAAGCAGTATTATAAACCTAATTCTCAACTTACTTTGCATGTGGTAAAAATACTTGTTGAAGAATAAAATTTTAATTAAAAGGTTTTATTTTTTAAAAAGAAAAAAATGTTTGTTTTGTAGGTTTTTAAGTCACCCTTTTTTATTATCATCGGACAATGCTGAAACTTTAATAGGGATAGCAAAGGCTTTGTGTCCCATATGTACACAAGTTCCATCAGACACAGACCAGGCATCTAAGTTTTGTTTGTTTGTTTGTTTCATTTGACGCTTTTTTCAACAGTATTTCAGTCATATAGGCGGGTAGTTTCCTAACCATCGTTCCTGGACAGTAACACCAGTACTAGACTACCTTCCTCCGCGCTAAACTACCAAAGCATCTCCCGGGGATCGAACCCACGCCAGAGAGGTAACTGGATTAGAAGTCATCGACTCTAACCCCTCGACCACAGAGGCAGTTAGGCATCTAAGTAAACACAAGAGTTTCTTATAAGCTAAACAGTATCTCCATATCAAAGGTTGACTGCAAAACTGTTGTAAGTCCTCCTGTATTTCATATAAGTTACTAGTTTCATTTAAATACAACAAAAAAAAAATCATGACTCCTCACCTTCAGCATCTGTGCGGAAGTAGATTACGTCACTGATACCACCTTGAACCGATTTGGAAACTGTCAATGCTTTCACGTAGGCTGCATACTGGGTCCAGGGCTCGAGCCCAACGATATAGTCCAGTGTAGAACATTGATTTGGATGAGACAGTCCAGTGCACACATCTTTACTCTGCCATCTTAAATAATTATAATATCAATGTTGTTATTTAATTAAGATAATGAAGTTGAAAAATGAACCTTAAAATATCTGTAGTTAACGATAGGGGGGAAATCTATAACTGCTGGAGGTGAAAGTGCTTAGCCTGTGCAGTCTGACCAAGCTTTATGCTGCTGGCTTACAACTTCATCTTGATATCCCTATAATCGATAATGGACATTTCCGAAAAGGAATTCAGCAAGTTAAGGGGTCAAATACAGGGCTCGCGCTGGCAGGAGCCAATGAGCAAATTGGCTCCAAAATAATTAAATTGGCTCAAGAAAATTAAGATTGGCTCAAACTTACGAAAAGTATGACTTTCAGAATCTCCAGTCTAAATTGAGCATTTTCTATTTTCAGAATGGAAAAGTACATACAAGTAATATTTTGGTTCAAACGAAAGATATGAAAGACATTATGGTACCTGTAACCTGTTGTTGAATCTACTTCATATATATACCTCCGATAAAGAAGCCAGCTTCAAACCAACAATGGTGTGATGGTAGTAATTTGACATATGTCACCTTTTAATTCACTAAGCACTGAAGGCCATTATTGTTTGTTTGTTTCTTGTATTACAATTTAAACACATTTTCGGTCATCGTTGGCAGGTCCATTTAACTGGCTTTCCTGGATAACTAACCAGTAATTACCAATTTCTTCCCAAGTAACTGCCTGCTTATCTGGCAGGATTACTGAATCAGCAATGAAAGTCAAATGACCTCAGATTCACTCTCCATGGTCAATGGTCACAGAGTAATTTCATCTTGCCCGAGGGTTGAATTGATGACCCCTGGATCTGATGCTCTCATTTTTGAGCTAAACAGGCAAACTAAGGCCGTAATTGTACATGTAATCATTTTTTTAAAAAATTTTACTTACATGTCATCTGAGCATGCGTCTCGACCTTTGTAGATGGAAACATTCTTCTGAGGTCTGAAAAAAGGTTGTACAAATTACAAAGTATCTTATATCCAAGAATAAGTAAAATAAGAATATATATATTTATTTTTTTTTTACCCCAAAATAAATGAACTGTTCCAAATGTAAAGCAGGGCAATGCCACTTAAAAAATTCAGCAGAATAAGGGTTGAGCATCTAGGACAAATGACTAAATGCACCTTGCTGCAACCTGAACAAACTTTTAATCACACTGGAGACACCCTCAAACAAATAACAGGTAGTTTGGATTGCAAATAATAAATGAACCGCGTCATGACAAAACCAACATAATGGGTTTGCAACCAGCATGGATCCAGACCAGCCTGCAAACCCATTATGTTGGTTTTGTCGTGACATGGCTCAATTTATAACACATAAGCACTTTAAAACTAAAATTGTGACAACAAAACGCATATGCACCAACATTGCAATATTTCGTCAGCCTTCACACAGATAGCATGACAGACGAGGGTTCAATCTATATGGCACCCACCCACAAGTAGTGAGAACATAAAAACGGGGTCAGAAATAAACACTTACGCCTCTTTCCAGTTGATTGAATAACCAATAAAAAGCCTATCATCTGTGAACTGCATTCGGGACCATGATACAAATGCTATATGTGGCGATGTGTTGTGTAACGTTAGCGTCAGATTTTGTATCTCACCTGAAATAAATCCCGTATGTGTTTAGTTTAAAGGGACTCCACTGAGGTGTTTTTTTCACATGACCTGACTGGAAATATTTTTCCGAGATTTGTGTGCAATTTGATGTAGGTCTTGAGCAATAACTTCTGTGCAAATTTTCATACCATGTGTATGTGTTTGAGTTTATTTTCTCGAAACAATAATTCAGTTTTATAGAGGGTATCTTCCTATAGCAGAGTGCTCAACATTCATATACCTAATTTTGCAACAAATATATAGTCATTTTCAACTAAAGAAAATCATACATGAATCTTGTCATGACCCAACAAATATGCGTTGATTTTATATTCATCAAATGCAGAACAAAACTACATTCAATCTTGTTCAAATTTCCTTATAAGTATTTTTTTTTTAAAAACAACTTATTATGCAGTTTTTTAACATCGCTGACCCAAAAAGAAACAAAACTTACATGGCATTTGATCCCCGTTGTTTTCTGAAGACACTTCTTCAGAGTCAATCTTTGAAATATCGAGACCAACCGAGGAAATGAACTTTGTAATTTTCTTGTAACACAGTTTCCGGTTGTATTGAAACAAGACTGACCCGTTGCCTATTTTAAGATTTTGCGCAACTTCGTCTAGAAAAAGTTCCTGAAGATTGAGATTGTCGTAAACGTAGATGACGTACCTGAAATATATTTCAAATCTATAGTTTTTATCAAAAGTTTTTATATTTTCTTTGTTCTTGCAATTTTGACGGCAGCCATTTTATACCATAGCTTAATGATCTATGATATGTTTATCAGAGAGGGTATCATAACAATAAACTAGAAATGTGTCCATAGGACACGGGTGCCCCCACCGCGCCACTGTTCTGTCAATCTTTTTACTAAGTCAAGGGAAATAACTCTACAAATACTGGATAAATCCACAAGCTAAACCCCAGGTGCAAATCTAAATATGCTGAGCAACCTGCCCATAAGGTTAAATGACTATGTCAAATCCTTTTTGAGTAACTTGCTACACAAGTTGAAAATTGCAAAAATTTTCTAAGTGAAGGGCAATAACTCTAAAAATACTACATAAATCCAGACAAAAATACTAAAAATATCCACATGAAAATACCCAGGTGCACAACAACACCCACTGATCAACATTCCTGTAAAGTTTCATGACTCTAGGTCAAATACTTTTTGAGTTACATGCGACACAAGTTGAAAATTGCAAAATTTTACTAAGTCAAGGGCAATCACTCTGAAAATACTAAAAATATCCAGACGAAAATACCCAGGTGCACGACTACACATGCTGATCAACATTCCTGTAAAGTTTCATTTCTCTAGGTCAAATACTTTTTGAGTTACGTGCGACACAAAAGTGAACGGACGGACGGAAGGACGGACGGACGGACAAGGGTAAATCTAAATGCCCGCCACTAACATGGGGGCACAAAAATAATTCAGTTCTATCACAGTAATGTAGAAGAAGATATCAAAATAACTAAAACATCAAGTTCAACTGTATTGATGTATTGTTTATCTTTTTTGTCAACACTTGTATCAAAACAAAAATATTAGCTACTTTCTTGTCCACACTTTTGTATGAAAACAAAAATATTAGCTATTTTCTTGTCCACACTTTTGTATGAAAACAAAAATATTAGCTATTTTCTTGTCCACACTTTTGTATGAAAACAAAAATATTAGCTATTTTCTTGTCAACACTTTTGTATGACAAGATTGCATTTGAGAAAAATGCTATGCCACCGCATGGTTCAAATTTCATAACTGTACATCAAAGGACAAGAAAGTAGGTCACATCATCAAAATCTAGGTCAAAGTTCAATTTTACAACTAAAACTGTGCAGATGGTCAAAATGTCATGTACATCAAAGGACAAGAAAGTAGGTCACTGTCCCCTTGGGCAAGGCATAATTTTGACCCAAGGGTTTAATAACAATCTTGATACAGGTCCACCAAACAACATTTCAAGTCAAATATCTAAGCTATAGCTTTCTCCCATTCAGAAAACATTTGTTTTATTTTCTGTTTTTACTATGTGTACATAATGAGAATCACTGCCCCCAGGGCAGGGCCAATTTTTGACATTTGAACAACTTTGGTAGAGGACCTATAGATGATATTATAGATCAAACATCAAAGCTCTATGCCTTGAACCTTCAGACAAATTATTTTTTTTTCACTATATGTACATAATGAAAATCAATGACCCCTGGGGCGGAACCAATTTTGACCCCAGGGCTATAATTTGAACAATCTTGCTAGAGGTTCACTACATAATGTTTCATGCAAAATATCTTAACTCTATCCTTTGTCAATTTAGAGAAGATGACTTTTTAAGTTTTAACTATATACATATAAGATAAACCTATGGCTCCCAGGGGCGGGGCTTATTTTGACACAAGAGGCAAAATTTGAACATCTTTGGTAGATTACCTTTCATATGATGATATTATTTAACAAATATTAAAGCTAGATCTAAGCCTTGTACCTTCAGACAATAAGATTTTTTTATTTTTCACTATATGTATATATTGAAATCAATGACCCCCAGGGTGGGGGTAATTTTGACCCCAGGGCTATAATTTGAACAATCTTGCTAGAGGTTTACAACACAATGTTTCATGCAGAATATCTAACCTCTAGCATTTGTCAATTGCTAGAAGAATTTTTTTTAAGTTTTTACTATATACATATAAGGAAAACCAATGACCCCTGGGACGGGGTTGATTTTGACCCCAGGGCTATAATTTGAACAATCTGGGTAGAGGTCTACCAGACAATGCCTTATGCAAAATATCTAAGCTCTAGGCCTTTTGGGTCTTTACAAGAAGGTGTTTTTACTATATGTACATATAGCGAAAATCAATGACCCCGGGGCAGGGCCGATTTTGACCCAAGGGCTATAATTTGAACAATCTTGGTAAGGGTCTACCAGATGATGCCTTATGCAAAATATCTAAGCTCTAGGCCTTTTGGGTTTTTACAAGACGGTATTTTCAGTTTTTACTATATGTACATAGTGAAAATCAATGACCCCCGGGGCGGGGCCAATTTTGACCCCAGGGCTATAATTTGAACAATCTTGTTAGAGGTCTACCAGACAATGCCTTATGCAAAATATCTAAGCTCTAGGCCTTTTGGGTCTTTACAAGAAGATTTTTTAAATTTATTCTTATAATTCCTTTTGGTTGCCATGGCAACCAGATTTCTGCATGGAATGAAATTCTTTGAACAACTTTGGAAGCCCTTCACCCAAGGAACAATCCTGCCAAGTTTGGTTGAAATTGGACAAGTGGTTTTTCACAAGAAGAATTTTTAAGTTCACTATATAATCTATATAACACACACACACACAAACAAACAAACAAACAAACAAACAAACACACACACACACACACACACACACAGGTGAATCGCTATATGCCACCGCATCGCAGATGCTGCGGTGGCATAAAAACAAAAATATTAGCTACTTTCTTGTCAAGACTTTTGTATCAAAACAAAAAAATTAGCTAAGCATGTACCTAAATCTAATTACTTTGTTGTTTGTCAAAAATTCTCAATCAGAAAGAATCATATGAAAGTACATGTAAGCGCAGATTTAAAATGTTTTCAAAATAACCAAAGCATTTAGTAAAACCAAACAAACCAAAAATATCAATTTTAAAGCAGCATACCTCCAGATTCATGCTAATTTTCATGAAAATTTCGAAAAGGTATAAAAATGTAAAATATTGTGATGTGAACAAAGAAAGTAAGTTATTATATATTGCAAACTACTTTTTCGACGAAAACAAGAAAATTATTAAAAACATCTTTGCAAGTGGAATTTATTTTCTGTCCCCTAAAACCAAGTAAACAGAAAAACTGCGGTCACTTTTCAAACACATGTCATACTTTATTATCACACAATTAATTCTGTCTGCCTATTTAACGCAGTCCTTCTAAGAAATAAAAGGACATGAGAGTTTCAAACACAGGCCATTTTTTGTATATTTAAAATGTATCGTTTCCCTATTTTCTATGCATATTTTTACACATATTTGGTCATATCTCTGCCGTGAACCACCTAACCTGCCTATCTGAATAACTAACCAATAGTTACCAATTTCTTCCCAAGTAACCGGCTACTAATCTCACAACATTTCTGTAGCAGTGGTGAGAGACAAATGACCATTAGACTCAATGTCAGTGATCTGTTGTCCCAGAGATAATAATCTTCGTCCTTGAATCAGCGGCCTCTGGATTTTCAAATCTGATGCTTTCTCTAATGAGCTAGACAGGCGAACTATTTGAGCCGCGTCATGACAAAACCAACATAATGTGTTCGCTACCAGCATGGATCCAGACCAGCCTGCGCGTCCGCGCAGTCTGATCAAGATCGATGCTGTTCACTATCAGTTTCTCTATTTGTAATAGAGTTTGTAAGTGAACAGCATAGATCCTGATCAGACTGTGCCGAGGCATAGGCTGGCCTGGATCCATGCTGGTCGCAAACACATTATGTTGGTTTTGTCATGAAGCGGCTCATTTAAAAATTCAATAATTGATTATACTCACTTTTGGTATGCCAAATTCTCTCCGCCAATTTTACGCAGCCCCTTTAAGAAATGAAGTGACATTAGAGCTTCCGAGTGACTGATGATGATAAAATCGGTGATCTCTTCAATCTGTGCAAAGTTCTCCTCTAATTCCTTGGCGATCTGACCTGAAAACAGGACACAAAACTCATCAACCAGTAACACCCTGAATTTCTTAAAATGGACTTATCAAGCTTCCATTTTTGGAACTGTGCATTATCAGTTTTAGGGATATTAAGATGATTTCTTTGTTTTGATTGGGTTTTACACCACACAAACAGAGTACAGGTCATATGACAAGTTTAAGCTTTACTGGTGGAGGAAGACCTCAGGTGCCCCATCGTGCTTTATTTCAGGCACAAACTGGCACCTCAGACACCGGCATTCTGTAAGCTAGCTGGATAACTTCCTCACATGAAAGAATCCAAAGTCCCTGTAGCGAATGGAATCCATAGCGGTGAGGGGCAACTGAATTTCAAGATGAAAATTTAAAATCATATAAATTTTAATTTTTTTACCTCCCTGTCTAATGTTGATCTGTAATGGTCCATTTATAATGTTACAATCCTTCAATTCGTGCGAAGCTATGACGCTGTCTATAACTTTACCAGTACAACCTGAAAATATGTAAAGAATTGGTATAAATCAGTGAATGATGACAGTATTTTAGTTGGGTTTTAAGTCGCACAAACACATTATAGGTCATCTGTCGACTTTCCAGCTTTACTGGTGGACAAAGACCTCAGGTGCCCATCTGTACAGGCACAAATGGACAAGTGAGTAGAACCACAGACGTAGCGTAAGCTAGATGGATAGCTTCCTCACATGATAGAATGTAAAGTCCCTGTCAGGATTCACACTCACAGCGGTGAGGGGCAAGTGGAGTGAATATGATGACAATATTTTGTAAGAAATACTGTTCATCATATTTAATATTTTGCACAAAAAAAATCATTTCAGTGAAAACACATTCCAATATTTTATCAATTTTTCAATGTCACATTTAAATTATGCAGGAGATTTGCCGACTGATTTCAGTCTACACTGATTGCATGGGTAAATTCCATTGCTGCCAGCCAGCTACGGGTTAAATTTATAGTGAAATACTTTGTGTTGTTTGTATCATATAATGTTGCGAAGTTTAAAAGACTGAGAAAGCATACATATCACTTAAAAATAGTGGTGTAATACAGGAGTTTCCGGCCAAACAACCTTCAATTGATGCCATGGTTATTCTATAGTGCTAGGTAAATACATTGAATTTTCTTTATTCACCAGTCAGGGCCGGCAAAATCTGATTATGACTTACTTGTCAGTTTTTATCTGAAGCATTTCCTAACTTGACAATATGATATTTCAATTTATAAAGTAAATTATTGAAAATTTCCACTTGTTTGCTGGCTGAGAAAAACCCTGGAAATATGGAAAGTTTTTTTTGCACCCCTGCCCCTTGCCAGTATATTAAAACAAAAAAATAAAAAATATTAAATCTAAAAATTCAAAAATTTTTGGGATTTTCCAAAATTTTCGATTTGTTATTTTTATCTTCTTTTTATATCTAACCCGGACAGTCACCCACGCGGCCGGGCTTGCTGGTCATGGCCCAAACCCATTTGAGACAGTTTTTTTCGTCTCCTTCTTTTCGTCAAACCTTTTACGTGCGATATATTAAATTTCGGCACTCCTCAGCAAGAAAATCAACGTTTTTTTAACAAAAAGAAAAACGCCCAAGTATGAACTTTAATGGGGTGATATTTTATTATAGAAAATAAGATTTATTTTTTTGGGGTTGTGCTAAAAGCTTTAAGCTTATAGAAACACTCTCAAATTCATTCCTGGAACCAACCAGTACTAAGCAAATTAGTGTTAAGTTTCTCGCTCATGGGAACAACCGCTTGCCCTTAGCAGGGTTTACACCCACGCAGCCATCACTTGAAAAATATTCAAGCAAGCTAGATAAAATAAATTTAAGACAAATTTGTAAACAAACAATACCATTTATCCTGAAAAACAGTTATGAACAATTAACATTTTTTCATCGCTTTTATTTTCTTTTTGGTTTTGTATTTTTTTGCACACACAAAAACAACAACAAACTTGTGTTTACTGCAATTTTAGACAGTAAAATGTTTTTTAATTGCTACAAAAACAAAAACAAACTTTTTTTCTGCAGAGTAGTCCTTGACAGTAAAATTTTTTTTTTCACTTCCTGAAAGATTGCGCAAGTTTGACTCAAATTTATCACTATCTTTTACATGACTGCCAGTAGTCAGGTAAGTTCAGATATCCTGAAGACGCCATGTTATTGAAAAACACTTGCGTTCAGAAATCCTGTAAAAATTTAAAAGTAACCCAAAAATTTATCAAAAATTTCTATTCAAGTAAGATTGAACTTTTTAAAAAAGCGACATCCCTAAGGGTTCAGAAGGGAAGCTCTTACATGTTGGTAGGTTTACCCAAAATGCTGGACACGTTTTGCATGTTGTACCTGTTCCGGTGACGGTCCCCTACATTGCCATACAAACTTGAAAGACTCATTACTAAAACGGACTGCAACTGATGGAACAGTGAAATGCATACAAAGGAATTTTTTTTTAAAAAATTACAAGAAATATCAAAAAAAATTTTAAACAAACAAAAAACATTCCTGAGCCACTATGAACAATTTGAAACAAGCATTTCATTGAAACCCAATAATAGTTATTATAATATATTTAGTAAAACATTTCCTGATAAAACTAATTAACTAGTAAGTTTATACAAAACTTGGTGATGGTAGCAGAGTCTACAAATGTGAGCAGTGCAGACCATATTCATTATTTTTTATTTAGCTTGCTGATCGCAAGAGATTTTTCAAATGTAACCAGTGTAGACTATGTTCATTCTTCAGTAATTACATATTTTTTTTTTAATAATGGATAAGTCCATCGCATGGTAAGGTTTGACATATGTTTGGATTTACTGTGATCTTAATGGCTAGAGACCTAGAGTAACTTTTCACTACAATAACACATAACAAATAATAGGGCATCTGTAGGTGCATGTTCAAATTAATGTTGACTGGGGTCTGGGGAAAAAAAGCGTTTTTCATCATTAAGAACTAATGAAATTATGTCAATAATTGAGGTTTTCTCAAAGTTAGTAAATCTTTTTACTGCTTAGTTGCCTAATGTTCCTTTATATTTTTCTATATATTTTTATTAACATAATTATACATGTAATTAATAAGAAACCTTGCAAACGGAATGAATTCCTTTAAAATGCATTATTAACCACTGACCTAACATAAAAATCATCTTTTGAAAACTCAATTTAATCCGCTATGTATGAAACCAAGAACCAACTTATCTCCCTTTAAAGGTTCCACAAAATTATCTCCCTTTAAAGGTTCCTTTTTTCAGAAGGTCCTACACAAAATTATCTCCCTTTAAGTCATTAACCCTTGTATTGTATCAACCCTGATAATCTATACAGAATGTACAAGTGCTCCAGTTCTACAATAAAAGTACATCTTCAAAAACGTAAACAATGAATTGTCTTTTTTTCTTTTCTTTTCAAATTTGTTTTTCTTTTATAATAACCCTGCGTGTGGAGGTTTGACACAGATAGTGGACAATGAAAGATTGGTAAATAATAACAATATTCATTGACAGTAATCATAAAGGATCTGTTTACAACAAAGTAATTCTTGCCCCCAGGCCACTGACTGCATACATTAATGAACTAAAATGTATACTGCCCTACAAAGATATACGGACTTTGGCATTTGTAAAGGCATTATTATGCGGTTTGTTTTTTTACCAGTATCGTACATTGAAAATGATACGACCATAACTTGGATAATTTTGATGGATCACTTTAATATTGGTTAACAAAAACTTTCGGGTGCCTTTACAGGCATTATTTAAGTAATGTCCAGCAAATGAATAGAAAATACCAAAAAAAATATCATCTCAAATCCTTAACCCAAAACTAAGGCTGGCAAAAACAGATTTCTTCCCCAATGTGATCAGAAATTAATCAAATAAATAATAAATAATTATTTAACTGGCCTGTAAACCCCAAATTATTTGAAAAGGGTTTATCCGAAAAAACAAAAATTTAATACTTTCCTACATTTTTTGCCAGGATTTTGGGAACATAACCCATACCCATGGATATGGGAATTTCAGCGATGTTTTGTTAAAAATTGGGGGGAAAAAATGGAGGACTAAAATTTTGAAGTGATTAAATGAATGCAAACAACCACACAGGATGGCATCCTCAAAGATTTAAGAACTATAACAGTGAAGAAGCCCTTATCTTCAAAGATTTAAAAAAAAAAAAATTTAATATTAATTTTTTATTTCGTAGCATTCAATAGGGAATTTTTTCCTGTGGATTGGGAAAATAATATACTATTTTCAATTGGGAATATGACCGAATATCAGCTATAAAATAAGCCGAAAAAAATCCCTTCATTCTATTTATAGAACTGAACTCTTGAGTTTGCTGGCAACATGCCACCAGTGCAGACATAAGATCATGGTCTGTACCGGTTGCTATTCAGTCAGAATAGTTATCTAATTTTTTAATTTTCAAAAAAAAAATGGTGAATAATTTTGTTCAGATTAAAAAATGTAAAAGTCCATTAAAGATATTTAGGTAATGATGATATAATGTATGGCAGTATGGCAGTGTGGCCAATTGGTAAAAGCGTCGGACTAGTAATCTTAAGATTTCTGGCAGCATGGGTTCAAACCCTGAGGCAGGGGAAAGCCGTTGTTTCCTTGAGCAAGAAATTTTACACTCATTGCTTTGTACTGGTTAGTTCCAGCAACGGATTTGAGTGTATATCAATGAGCTTATACATGTAGCTTACAACACAATCAAACTAAAATTAATTTGTAAGCAGCTGGGCTAGCAGACTTGTTTGAAGTGTAGGTTAAAATTTTAAATCACAAACAAGTCAGAATAATCCTATAGAACAGGATATCTGACAATATCATTCTCTCATATCATTATTACTATAGGGACGTTAGTGTCAGAGTGGTTGGGGTCGCTGAATTCAAACCTCTTGCCTCTCACTGTTGTGGGTTTGAGACGGCACAAGCATTTTCAAATTCTTTCATGTGGGTAAACTATATATCCTGCTAGCTTACTGAACGTTGGTGGTTCTACTCAGGTGCCCGTTTGTGCTTGAAATAATGCACAAAGGGGCACCTGAGGTCTTCCTCCACCAGTAAAGCTGGGAAGTCGCTATATGACCTATTTTGTGTTGGTGTGACATTAAACCAAATCCCCCCCCCCCCCCCCAAATATCTTTTTTTAACTATTATTAGTTTTTCAGACCAAACTTTCGGAGGGCAGTATAGAATATTTTCACAGGTTTTTAGTTTGTCACTCAGGTTTCAACAATGTATTTTAATGGTCAAACTGATCTTGTTCTTATTTGTAAAGCTATTGTCTCAACTTTCCTACATTCCAATGTATTAACTACCTAATTACTTATTTACCAAAACATAATCAATATGCAAATTAGCTTATCTTTACAACTTGACACGCCCTGAGATTTTTGTCATATTTTTCTAGCTTAGAAATTTGAATATCATGTTAATTTATCAATTTACTTATTTTACAACATTAATTAAATAACAAAACGTGTTAATTGTTAATGACTTAAATTATAGTAAAATGTTAAACCATATTATATTAAAGGCCCATTATGCCTCAGAAATGCTTTTAGTTTTATTTCTACAAAGCTTTTTGTTTATGGTGTACTTTTTAAGTATCCTAAAAAGTGACTCCTTTGCAAATTACATTAACCACCTTTTTCATCTGTTTGTTTTTGGTAATAAGGACAGTTTAATAGTGAATAAGTATTTTGCATGGAAGTCAAAATACTCCTTTGTTTTTATATTTTGCTACTTTAATAATAATGACAACTTATTTCACATATATCGCTATACTCTTCAGGTATGGAATATCCAACATTATTTTAAACAATTATTTAAACATTTTAAAATTCATATTTGCCTTTTCTAAAAGATTATCAATTTATTTGTTTCTAAGGCATAATGTACCTTTAACTAGATAATTATCAGCCATATTTATTTGTTTTTCAAAACGTTTAAACCTATATAAGGTATATGCTGTCAGAGGATTGTTAAAATATTGATTATATCATTATTAATATGATTACAGAATACCTAGAATTTAAAAAATCTGTAAATATAATTTATTGAAAGGACCGAGTGGGACAAGAGTAAATCATTGTCATACCAACTAAAGTGCAGTAACATGTAGCATGTAATATTTTGTTCCAGAACATTTTATTCTGTTTATGTACAATATTCATATGCATTAAGAAAACAACATAATTTTACTGTTTTTAATTTCTTGTAAATTTTTTCATCAGATATAGCTAGAAATTTCAACATTAAAACTTATTTTCATGGAAATTTGGAAGAGGAAACTTCATTTTGATAAATACAGCAAAAATCTGCTAGAACAAAAACAAATTTAGTTCATTGGCCACATAATTAGAATCTTGTGCAACCTCCAGACTAAAGATTTTAATTCATTTTGCTGAAGAGACTTTATTTTGATAAATCAGCTAAAATTGGCTAAAACAAAAACAACTTCCGGTCATTAGCAGTATGGGTAATATCTGTGGCCACCAGGAGGCTAAGTATTTTAATTCATTTTGCTGAAGAAATTTTGTTATTTTGATAAATGAAACTAAAATTGGCTAAAACAAAAAACAACTTTTGGGTCAGTGGTCACATGGGTAGTATCTGCTAAGGATTTTAATATGTTTAGCTGGATAAACTTTGTTTGCTCATATAGATACAAAAAACAATTTTGATTTGACTACGTTCTTCAATATAGATTTTTTTTTTCCTATTTCCAGTTAGTTATATCTTATTGATTGTAATTTCAGTCACTTTAGATTTATAATATTGATTACATCTTAAACTGAAGTGTATACATTAAATTCATTTTAAAAATCTACTTCCTGGACAAATAACAAAAAAAAACAAAAACTCTTGTCTTGACGTAGGAAGAAACATAATCAAAGTCTTGCGAGGCTCAAACCACATGTACCCTAAGCCTGCTGGTGGCAACTGAATCTACCCATACCATCAGTGCAGACTCTCAGATTTGCTGGGCACATCTGTGCCATTTGATTATGGTTTTCACTGTTCCCTAGTCAGTCAATTCAATTTTGAAATTTTCCCTAAATACTATGAATAGTTTTGCCAAGATAGACATTTCCATTTAAGAGTTTGAGGTAAGGATTAGCTGACAGTTGCTAGGCAACTATATATGTCCTGACCTTCACCTCTGCTGCTTTTATGTTTGCACAATTCTACAATTATTGTTATATCTTTCGAACCAAACTATTAAAAGATAATTCAGTGGATTTCAAGAATGAGGCATATGAAATAATACAATATTTACAGTCTGGTACAAATGCACCCGCCTGACAAATGGACAGAAGGTCATTTTACAACAGTTCGCGAAGGGCATTCATCTCAAAATCACTGCTTGACCCTGACCGTAACAACTTTATAGAATATGAGTGGTCATTACTATTCTCAAAATGCCTTTTTTCCTTATTGACTTACTTTTCCTTTTCCTTTTTGTCTTTAACTATCATTATAAAGATTCAGGTTAACCTTGATCAACCTAAATATCTCAATTGGACTTATCCATCTTTCTATCTGGACTAAACCATTCATCATTTATAAGGGGAAAAATTCAAGATATATACTGACTTAACAGCAAACAGTGCAGACCATGACCAGACAGCACACAGATGAGCCGGCTAATACTGGTCTGCACTGGCCGCGTAGGTAAATTCACAGTTAATACTGGTCTGTACTGGTCACATAGGTAAAATCACAACTAATACTGGTCTGCACTGATCACATGGGTAAATTTAGAGCTAATACTGGTCTGCACAGGTCACATGGGTAAATTCACAGCTAATACTGGTCTGCACTGGTCGCATGGTTAAATTCAATCACCACCACCAGGGTAAAATGTTAATAGCTTTTAAATTAACACAAGAATGGAAAAGAACTTTTCATTTTCAAATTTAATTGGAATTTTTGTACAGACCAATAACTGCAAATAAAATTCCATTCTACATTTTCTTCTAGATTTTCTTATCATGCATTTGTCACCATTTATCCAAGTACATATATACCACAAAGGGATATCTTGAGTCTTTATATCTGGAACATTTTTTATTATTGAAAGAAAATTGTCCTATCTCAAATAAACAGAGAGACAAAAACAAGATCTTTCTAACAGGGAAGAAAAAATGTTTCTGTTGAATAAAAGGAGTGAAGAGCGCAGTTTGTACTTAGTAATGACTACATTTATCTGTTATGTCTAATGGAAGGAATAATCAATATGGGCAGGGTTTAATGTACAGATTAAATCAGTTAAGAGGTATGTCCTCAGTTAGCCAGCTATAGTACAAATTGCGTAACTTTGTTTTCCAATCATTTATTGGAGGGGAAAACGGTGGCCTTGTGATAAACAAGTCTGCCTCTCATCCAAGGGACCGTAGGTTTGAGCCGTACTTGAGACATGACCACTGTCTCTGCAGATGACATCAGATGTCGAGGTTATAAAACTTTTTTTCTTAGATATGTCCTAAATCTTATGTTTTTATTGGTCAGTGTCCTTTTGTGAAGGTTTCTGACCAATAAAATGCATGTACCCGAGAAACAAATCGAGAAAAACAGAGGGCCTGAGGGCCCCGAGGTCGTCACCTTATATGGGCCCCCCGGAGCGGGCCATTTTAAACCCAGAGTTTTTTTGACAAATTTGGGAAGACACCCATTAGAAGATTTTCATGATGTTAAGTTTTTACTACACAAAAAATGAAAAACAATGACCTCCGCCCCCCAGCCCCCCCCCCCCCTAAATTTTTACTATATCATTTAGGGGAAAAAAAATGACCCTGGGAAAAGGGCCAATTTGACCCCCGGCTTTTATTTGAACAAACTTTGGGAGACACCCATAAAGGGGAAATGTTACTAAATTCTTTGTCTAGCTCTATGGGTTTTTTTAAAAAAAGTTTTTTTAGTTTTTACTATTCATATAGGGGAAAATAATGACCTCTGGGGGGGGGCCAATTTTGACCCAGGCCTTTAATTTGAACAAACTTGGTAGACACTCACTAGAAGATGTTTCATGCCAAATATCTAAGCTCTAGCTCTTTGGGTTTTTTAAAAGAAGATATTTGAAGTTTTTTCTTTTGGTTGCCATGGCAACCAGAGTTCTGCATGGAATTAAATTCTTTGAACAATTTTTAAAGGTGACCACCAAAGGAACATTCCTGTGAAGTTTGGAAGAAATTGGCTTAGTGGTTTATGAGGAGATGTCATTTAAAGTAAAAGTTTACGGACGGACGGACGCCGGACGGACGACGGACGGACGCCGGACAAAAGGGATCACAAAAGCTCACCCTGTCACTTTGTGACAGGTGAGCTAAAAATTCATAACTGTCCGTCTCAGTATATTGTTTCATTAGATACGCAAGCTCCAAGGGAGTAACAATTCGTCTTTTGTTTCAGTTTGTACAAATTTACTTTAGTTTAATTGTGTTGGAAGCTATAAGCTTATTGAAACACTCTTATATCCATTCCCGGAACCAACCAGTACTAAGCTATGAGTGTAAAGTTTCTTGCTCAATGAAAACAATGGTTTTCCCCTGACATTGTAATGATCTCATGCGGCCAGCAATCCTTAGATTTCTTGATACTAGTCTATCAAATGAACCACTCATATTCGTACTTACATAGCATTTTCTGGCAGTCGTTTATCGTCCAGCATCTAGGCATTTTCTTATCGTATTCTAATGTTTGATCACAGTTACTCGGACACTTGTTAACGCATTCTTGTACATCTTTATTGCCTTTAAAGTAGTTCTCCGACATCGTCACTCCCGTTGTTATTTTCTCCCAGTCAATCGTTTCAATATAACATAGGTTCGGATTTTTCTCCAATCTGATGGCACCTCTAGGAATCGACACCAAACTTGACAAACCAAGTTCCACGAGATCGGGCATTTCAAAGGCGACCAATGCATAATCGTTGAACAGTCGATCTCCGCGAATGATGGCGAGGTTCGGAAACAAGTGATTTAGACTTCGTAAATTATCGACTCTGAACAGCACCAGATATTCTGTGATTTCTACAAGGTTTGGAAAGCTGTATTTCTGAAAATCTTCCCACTTGCCAGCTATCAGGAGTATCGTCAGGTTTCCTTCGATCACATTACAGTAGCGTAACTGGTTCAATGAATCTACCGAGTTTCTGACGTCCATGGTACCGCATACTGAAATTATAGAATAAATAATGTTTTAATGTATTTATACACTTGTTACTATAATAGTAACAAAATTGCCTAAATATAATATGGAAAAAATAAAAATCTGCCTTAAATATCAAAAGACTGTGCCCCACTCTTTTTTATAAATTGAACATTATATGTTAATTCAAATGTACATTTATTGAAATTTCTTTGGTCTACCTAAGTTATTCATCCTTCATGTGAAGTACATTTTAGAACTGGACGGAATTATGGCAAATGAATTATTTCTTATTACTTATTACTTGACTTTCACCTGTTCCTTGGAAGAGCTACACTTTAACCAAATTGTTACTGTAACAGTTTGTTTGTACCCCATGATTAGCTAGGGAAAAAAACAGCAAGTTCAGAAGTAACTATTTATTTTCAGAAATCAACAGGCACGAATCAATATCCCCCACAAGTAACAACAGAAATATTGATTATCAACCAGTACCAATAAAAATATTTATAAACCCAAAGTCATTAAAGGAATTAATTTTAAAATTGATTAATATATCTGACTAAAAGAAAACTGGCACTTTCTCACTTATTTTAAACATTTATAGCTGCTATCCCACGCATAAAATAAAATTGAAATTTTAGCAGGATATAAGTGCCAAATATTTAATGAGCTGTTACTTCTGTGAGCAGGATATGTATAAAATTTATAATCATCTAATGTCATATATTCAATCAAAACCGTGATGTCAATTCATTTTTCAAGGATATCTCTTTTTTGTAAATAAAAGATTAAACCACCCTACAAGGAATGGTAAATTAGCTGTTACAGACTTAATATATGCCATAATTCTTACTGTCTTTAGTGCCATGCAGTTTGACAGGGCTGAATACTAATTGGCAACTTCATCTAAGATTTTTCCCGCAAAATTTTAACACAGTCATGGTAATATCTCAGCGATTAATCCACCAAACTGACTTTACTTGATAACTTACCAGTGATCAATCCACCAAACTGATTTTACTGGATAAATAACCAGTGATCAATCCACCAAACTGACTTTACTGGATAACTAGGCAGTTATCAATCCACCAAACTGACTTTACTGGATAACTTTAACCAGTAATCAATCCACCAAACTGATTCTACTGGATAACTAACCAGTAATCAATCCACCAAAATGACTTTACTGGATAACTCACCAGTAATCAATCCACCAAACTGACTTTACTGGATAACTAGGCAGTTATCAATCCACCAAACTGACTTTACTGGATAACTCACCAGTAATCAATCCACCAAACTGACTCTACTGGATAACTAACCAGTAATCAATCCACCAAACTGACTTTACTGGATAACTAACCAGTGATCAATCCACCAAACTGACTTTACTGCATAACAAACCAGTAATCAATCCACTAAAATGACTTTCCTGGATAACTTAACCAGTACTAACCAATTTCTTCCCAATTTTCTTCTCCACTTATCCTAAATAATTTCTGAATCAGCGGTGAGAGGTAAATGGCCGATATATATTATGTTGGAGATCAAATTTGCTTAATTTCTTATACAAACTTGTCCAGCTTCCATTTTTTGGTACTGTCAATATCAATTTTGGGTATAACAAAATGAAAATTTGAACAGAAGTACAGATTCTGGCAATGTTCAGGCTTGTCTGGCTCTAAATAATACTGGGGCTTAATAATTTCAATGCAAGCAGACGGTTACTAGGTTTTAATTACTAAGTTGTGGTTTTATGCCTTTACTTGGTGTCTATACTTGTACAAAAACTGATTTTTCCATAATAACTATAGTAACAAATTATCACTATGGTCCACTTCTTGAATCAAAGGTTGATGGACACAAGACTAACTCTGAGGCTGCAAGAAGCAAATGAATCTACCCATGCACTAAGTGCAGACCAAAATCAGCCGGCACAACAATACTGTCTGATCATGGCCAGCACTCCTCACTTTTCAGTCAGTACTAAAGTTTTTCAAAAAAATTCCCTAAAAACTATCAATGGTTTTGTCCAGATTAATAAGTTTGACTAGTCCATTTACATAGGTAAAAGTTGGAAATTTTAAAGCAGTTTTTTGTATAGTTTACATAGGGAAATAGAAGGCTTTGAGGAGACTGAAAATCCTGAACTTCAGGTATAAAACTTTTATCCATGCATTCAAGATATTAACAGTAGCAAGGGCTTATTAGACCTTCCAACTACAGCAGACATCAAAATATAACACTAATTAATATTCGTTCTCATCCCACGTTATACAAACAGGTTCTAAAATATATTTTTAACCGCAAATAAAACATTACACAACAGATTGTTATCTGTGTACGGCCTTCAAGGTCTCTTAAAATTCATAAACGTAAAAAAATTGTGATTACATCAAAAACAACTTACAGGGCGACTAGACTGTTTTGTCCAAACCTAAATGTCAGATGCGTCACTAGAGAAAGTTCATGGCCGCCTATTATCTTCTATAACTGTATTGATTTATAGGAATTTTATTTTTGTTGTTCATGTTGTTGTAGTTGTTGTTGTTTGTGAAAGACAGTTTGCTGACTCATGAGTTAATTTGAGAATTTTATATTTGAAGTTATATTGTCATGTTTCATGTTTCAAGTTAACAGTATAAGAGTATTTTATTAAGTTCAATTTATTGGTACACATCATTTACTATTTTACGAGGGTCAGCATTTGTGGTTTTTCTATGGAATGTTGTTTACTACATATAAATTGCACAATGCATAATTTGCTTCCTGTCATGATTTATTCACTGGCAATGCCATAATGCTTACTGGTACAGTAATTTCTGAACATTTTTTTCATTATAAAGCCCAATGCCAAAACATAATTATGTTATTTTTCCAATTTCTTTTTAGCAAATAAAATCCCAATTAACAGTCTGTTTTAACTTCTTTTTTTTTTATTATTACTATTTTTTTTTAAAAAAACAGAGTATGTTTTACTCAAAATGGAAACCCCTTTAAACTAACACAAGAAAATATGGACATAGAGAAACTATTCTTTTATACATAACATTAATTATGTGTTTACAAAATTCTATAAAGTTTATGTAACATTCTTATTTTGGACTTTTCCCAATTCCATCATGATGTTGGTGGCATTCCCAAAAATTAGTGAAAAAAAAAGAAAGGCCTGCATAGGCATGATGGCGATTTCAACACCCTTGATAGTCATGATACATACGTCCGAGGGCAGCTGCAGGTGTTCATGCATGTAAAAGGTGCATTAGTGCCATTCTTGCATAAAGATATTTGTCTGATTCCGTACTTTGTTATATTTGTCTGAACTTGTGCTAAATGATTCCATATTTCATCATTTGTTTTTCTTGTACATACATGTACAAAAAACCGTTGGTGCCCTGTGTAATGCATATTAAAAATTTGCAATTTAATATTGCCTATTCACATAATTTTATCTGGTAATGTACATGTATACTGTTTTGTTTTTTCTTCTTTGTAAATGTAATACAATTGTTTGCGCAGTCTTTTTTTTTTTCTAAGAATGATGAACGCGGAACATACACTTTATTAGGTATAAATATAAAATATGAGTAACAAGAACCATTGTACATAGGGATCTCTGATAAAGAATCATGTTATATTTTTTTTCTCTCTAAAATGTGCATGACATAAGCTTTCTTTATTCACCGAAACATTCCTTTCTGAACCACACTATAATGTTTATAGTGACATGTTTATTATCAAACCTTATTACACATTCCTTTACAAAAATATCACTGCTTATCAGAGTGATACCATAAGTAACGTTTTTAATCTACTTTCTTAAATACAATCTTCAATACATAGAATAATATTTATTGTATCATAGTTTGGGGACCTTTCTAGAGTTACATCGTATACACATACATGCACAGTGTGTTAACTTGAGTGCAGGTATTAGCTACTTGCACTTTATTGACTGGCTCATTTTTTTTCTGGGGTTTATTTATTGCAACGACAGAGAAAGGGATTACAAGTGAATCAAAGTGATAGAAAAGTCATATACAGATGCTCGATCATTGGTTAGTTATTTCTGGGGTTTCATATTTTGATAACAGGGAACATGTTTTCATTTTGCCTATGATACAAAAGAGAAAGAATATCAAAAATCAAAATACTCAGCAATCTTATTTATACTTGGGGGCTATGCTTCAACCTACAAATCAAATAGCCTCGTGTTTAAATGCTCTGTCCTTTACTTACATTTACCTTATAAATACAATTAATTTCACAGCTTACAAAAATAAAATAAAATAAAAATTAAAGATATACAAGAAAATAATGTAACCTTCATGACAACAGATTCTACCCACGTGACCAGTGCAGACCAGCAACAGCCTCACTTTTACACACAGTCTTATTGTAGTCTGCACTGTTCCCTAATTAGTGTGTCTAATTGTGGTCCGCAATCAGCACATACATGTATTTTGAGACTTTCCAGATTGAAATGGAACATAAAAAATGAAAAGAGTATACAAGAAATGTCACCTTCATGACAACAGATTCTACCCACTTGACCTGAGTGCAGACCAGCAACAGCCTCACTTTAGTCTGCACTGTTCCATAATCAGTGTGTCTAATTGTGGTCCGCAATTAGCACATACATGTATTTTGAAACTTTCCAGATTGAAAGCTGGACAAGTTCATTTTACAAAGTGGTAAGGGTCCTAAATAAAGCCCAAGATGCAAATAAAGAATAACATTCACTGCATTGTTTCCATTTAACGCCCTGGTGGCATTTTTTTTTAATCAAAATATTTGGATAATTTGACTGCTCTCTCATGAGTTAAAAATCTGTAAGGTTAGATTTTTCTTCTACAGAATGTGGTGGGGCTGGGGGTGCTAATAAGAGGGGGGGCATTAAATGGGAAGAATACAGTATATATATATTTATCACCTTATAATTACGATTGATTTCAAAGCTGTATAATCTACAAGGAATTTAAAATGAAAAACGCCAGACGGAGGTCATTTACGGAGGTCATTT